TATATATATATATATATATATATTTATACAGGGAGCCTGAAATTTATTTTGTGAGGGGTGCATTTTTTTCTGCCACTGGTACCAACCACATACAACAAAGGGTTAAAAAATCACCACATCTCTATTAAGTTATTTATATGCAGGATCCATGTCTATATTAATTAGCCTAGACAATTATCTATCAATAGCTACAAATAATTCAGACTATTATACATATTCTTTGAGTTCAGCTAATTAAATTGGCTAATTTGTTGTTCTTAATCCTTTGACAGTTCTGATACTGTAACTGATGAATCTGATGAAGATGTTGATGAGTACCAAAACCTGGATCCAAAGAATGGTTCACAGAATCCAGCTAGAGCTATACTTAACATTATTTTTGGGAACAATTTACCAGAAGACATTTGTGATACCAGTATTGACTTGGCAGCTGAAATAAAAAAATTGGAAGAATTTTGATATTAATTATACAAAGGAGACCAATGTTCACAATGTATTTGATACACTTTATGTTTAGCAAATCAAATTTCCCCCCCCCCCCCCTCCCCCCAATTTCATGATTGATAGTTTAAATGTTAGTTTTTCTCTTTCATTAAAATTTCTGCAGTACTGAAGGTGTTTTCTAACATATTTTAGATACACAGTTATCCTTTGATACACAAAACATAATTTGTTAATCAAGACAGTTTTTAATCATCCAGTTCCAACCTTTCTTTTTGTCATTTTTCTTATCTGTAATGTAGTATGTGCTTTTTTATACTACAAAAAATGAAATATCTCTCAGTAGAACAGTAACTGACTGTTAATAGAATACACATCTAGGCAAAAATTTAAAATGTTAAACTGTATGTCAATGCTAATTTAAATATTATATACTATCTCACAAGTAGTCCATTATTAACAAAATCATTAATGTTTAAGAATTGTTAGCTTGCTTTTTCTTTATGATTCCACCTAGTCACTACATAGTGATAAGATTGCCCCTGTTGATGAGCATTTATATATTTCTTAATATTTGTTCTCTTCTATGCATCAAATTAGGTGAATGTTGTTACTTGTGCTAGGTAACGGATTGTCTATCTGCTGTATTTATTCAAAATCTGATGAACTAAAGTAGGATTCGCTTAGCTTCTGCATCATACATAGTCGATAATTACAATGTAACAACACAGAGATTAATTAAAAGTTGTTTCTGCATGTCATATAATTTGTTTAATTGCATGTTTTCTTACATATCTGTCCTCCATGTATAGATATTATGTCACAAGTATATACAGTGGTACCTCAACCTATTAGTACCCCAACATACGAGATTTCTTTTAGGTATGAGCTGTTGAGCTAGCTAAAATTTGCTCTGACATACGAGCAAAATTTGAGATACAAGTAACCTGATTAGCGGGTTAAACAGTTCATGTAAAAGAAACATCTGGAAAAAGTTGCAACTGATTGAGCGTTGAAGCTATTTTATGACATTTACTCATTTCCAAAACATTTAGAAAGGGTGCAGAAACAAACTTTCGTGGATAGGTCTATTTTAGAGTCCTGCATAGAAAAGTGGGGAAAGTAATGTCTAAAGTTTGCCTGGATACTTAAAATTATATGCAGTGTTTTGTTCATTGCTACACTTTTCCTACATTTCTTCTTCGTTCTTAATGGTGTTAAGGAGATATTCTCCAATTCTATCAAGAGGTGATAAGCAACCTGTTCCGGTGCCCTGGGCAAACTATTAACTTTTTGCCACAACCACTGATAAGCTAATATGCACATTTACATGAATAACTAACATACATTGCAAATAAACCAACTGGTATACTTGCAATAAATAGTAATAATCAAGTGTAATTTTCAGAAGGATGATACATTTTCTTTGACTTTGTTTATTCCACATGATGTTAATTAAAATGATATGTTTACAAAACCATCCATATTAATTTTGTAAAATCATTCATTAAGATATTAAATGAATTAAGAATATTACACTATGGCGATCAAGTCAAACTTTTTTTACTATATACCCCCTTTTGCAAAGGGTCTGCTGTCACATATAAACATAGACGCAGAATCCTTTTGAGCTTTATATATTAGATAGGTACACAGACTGAGGCATTCTAAATAAATGTTCTTGCTTTTAAATGCAATACTGGTTCTAGAGACAAATAATTATTTTGACAAACCATATTTTCTTTACAGGGCTCTTGCATTGTTCCAGCCACCATTGGATTGCATTATCCGCACATAAATAAGTTTAAGACACAAAGACTGTTTACCTGTTAAAAGCTATTATTTTGTATTTTGGTATTGCCAGATCTACTGTAGCCTACATGCGTGCAGGTGTCATATTTCTTTTTTAAGTTTAAAAAAAAAGCAATTTTGACAGATTGTGAACCCCTGCACTCTTCTGATTAAACGTGTGGACATGCTATAGGCATACATGTTATCAAAATTCAAAGAAGCGTTGTTCCCCTATATTTTGATATGCTTATCAAGTATGCTCTTGCATCTCAATATTTTTGGGGATTTTCTAAATGTACAAAATTAGTGGTTTTTACTTCCCTTTTGTAATTGTATTAAAAAGTGAGAAAAGCCAATTTCATTGCAGTAAATTTGTTTGATGTAGGCCTACTTATTTTTGAGATTAGAAAAAAATTAAGTCTGTTCTCTATGTGTGTGTGTTTGTGTTGAATTCAAAAGATTGTGTTTGTGACTAATACTTTTACAGATATAATCTCTTAAACATGGCTCCTTTTAGTTTTAGGGTGTTGCAGATTGCAATTTTTAATTAGTTTTATATAGTGCGATAGACTATGGATACAACGGGGCATTGTAGTCGTTCACTAAACTGAATCAGGCACATCCGTCGATGCCTACGTTACTTTTAAGGAGCCTGGGGCAGTATGCTGCGCCCCTGATGTAATGTAATCGGGGGGCTCCCGAGAGCGTGTTTCTGACACCTTCGGTCACCAAAGTGTGATCTACCTCACTATTAGGGTGAGTACAGTCAAGGCTTTCATGCGATAATGTAGGTAAATCCGTGCCCCTATAAATATCTAAGCACAGACGTTTGCAAATAAATAACTCAGTTTAAGAAAACAAGGTCAAACATCTAAGAAAAAAAGATTGGTAAAGCATTGGTAAAACCCTTTTTATATATTTCGTTAGACTTTCTTCTATCCCCGCGGCGCAGGGACAGGTATGCTTTCTTTATAGTTATTTAAATAGTAGTGTATTATAAATTTAAAGTATTTTCTTTTTTAACAGATGTTTGTAGTTATAAGTAAAAAATAAGTAACTTGACACATAATTAGAGTGCTTTTGAAATATTATTTGTGTCTTTTATGTACCAGATTTTGTATTAATCATAATTTAATGCTTGACACTAAAATTTTATTAACTTGATTTAAATAAAGGTCATTTTTATGGTCCAGAAAATTTTTACTTTTGAAAACAAAATCATCACAGTACACAAAATGTGTTTTCACAACAATAAACGAAAGGATTACAATTAATAAAGTGGTTTAAATAGTAAACAGCACTATAATGCATAATTTACATTCAATTTCCAAAAGTAGTTTTTAAAATTTATTTACACTATGGTACAATTCAAGAGCTTTTTATATACACATGCACATATATTTCCAAGTTACAAAATTAACATTGTGTGTGTATATGTAAGTGTAAATAAAGATTAATAATCATTTTATCACAATGTAAACTACAATGCGCACTACTTAATTGCAGCTCATGAGAAATAAAAATCACAATCTAAATGGCACAAACTTTATGTCTAAACTTTAACATTCAAATGCTTTTTACAAGGTGCAATTTACAAATTTACAATAAGGATTTCATTAATTTTTTTTATAAAAAGGAGAAAACAAAATTGGCAATTATTCCTTTCTTTTGATCCTACTTCAAATAAATATTGCATCAGCATTATGATGAAAACTAATAGAAGAACAAAATTAAAACTAAAATTATGCATCTTCACCTAATTATTTTTAAAAGAATTTTGAGAATTGAAAAATGTTTGAATTTTAAAAGTAAAAAATGTGTTTACTTAATGCACTAATGCAGTAGAACAGTTTATTTTTCATAAATTTACAATACCTTCACATTAACTTTTTAAAGTAGATTTTTAAAAATCACAGTTATTTCATATTGACCATAATCATTTTTCATGAGCAAACTTCAAACCCAAGTAAGTCAATTTTGTATAATTTTTCTCGTCAAAAGTGAAAAAAAAAAAAGGTTTTAAATTTAGACTTTGTCAACTGGTCAATGACTGTGAGTTATAAGTAACTGTTGATTTCATACACACACACATATGTATATATACATATATATATATATCAATACTAGAACATACTTTTTTGGATCTATGAGCATATCATACTACATTCTTTTATTAAAACAAATTTAAAGGTGATAGTAAATAAAATTGAATATTCTTAAACAGTTATTATAGAGAATATTTACCAAATAAATGTTGAAAGGTTCATATATATAATCTTCATTATTTAGCAATTAGCATTCATACTTCTAAATGATTTAGAATATGTTTAGATTGTACAAATATAACTATTAAACAGCTACATCATGTAACAGCCATTATGAGAATAGCAGTACTTTATTATCTAAATGACACATTTTAAAATTAATGACTTATTTTCTTTAAGAAATAAGCAGAAAAACATTACACTTATGAAAAAAACTTATCATATTACACTTATGAAAAAAACTTTCATTTGTTTTTTGAAAATATTTAACAAAAATTATGATTTAATTTTCCTCTTATGCATAGTCTATATTTAGTAAGAATATATTCAATTAAATATCTTTTCTATTAATCATATTGAAGAATGTGCTCTATCATTAGCTAGAGATGGTTATAAAACCTGTAAAAAAATTATATTTAATTAATTTTCAACTTTTCTCTTGTGTAAGCTATCTTTTAAAAATGATGAATAGTTGTACTTTGCTTGTACCATTATTAAAATATCAGTAGGCGTACTCTGTTATTCATTATATTTTCTACATAACTATTACTTAAAAATAAATATACCTAGCCATTGTTTATTGATTATTTGAAAAATTATATTTTAACTCTTTAAGAAAAAGGAACATTTATGAATTTCTTTTGAAAATATTGGGTAATTTTTAAAGTGTATTATTTCAGTAATAAAAAGAAATGATACAATGATATAATTTACAGCCCAGGATTCTGTGGAATGTACATATACTTGTTATGTTACTTAAACATGACAGACACAATTTTAATCCAAATTTTCAAATTCAATTATTAAATAAAGGACCATCGGTTACAACTGTTTCCTTGTGTAATTTAATTTCTTTGATACCAGTACAGAGATAATACATGGGGTATACTTTCTAATTTCACCTTCTGCCCTTTTAGACATATTAGAAATAAACAAATGTAATTGATATTTTTAAAAAGGGAAAGACCATAACTTAAAGTATCTTTTCAATGTGTTATAAAGCTTACAATTACAATAGTTCTTTACACTACTTCTTCACAGTGTATCAAAAAAGAACCTTTTTCTAGACAAAGCCTATTATTACTAACAAAGTAGTATATTTTGCAGAATAAGGCATATTCCTATTTCATTATTATTAATTTGAATTAATCAACATAAAATAAACAAGTCAGGATATATTTTAATTTCTTACTTCAGCTAAGGATTTTTTGCATTGCAATATAACAAAATCGTCTACATTTTTAAAGTTTCTGGATTATAATACAGTGGAAAGATAAAATCATAATGTAATATACAGTTGGTAAATGTTTTACTACATATTTACAACAATAAATACTTGTTAACTTTTATGTAAATTCTACATTTGTAGTGTCAAATATCAACAGCTTTTAAATGCCTTGTTTTAAAACTGAAAACAATAACAATACAATAGACATGAAAAAATGGAAATGACATGAAAACAGTCTAGACATTGTTTTTTTTACAAGCAATACATGAGCTTAATTATATTTTTTAACCTTTTACAGTCCTGTGAGCCTGATAATGCATGTTCTCTGTAGGCCATTTTTTCTCTCCACAATTACATACGATGCTGCTTTTTAAATTGAAATGTTCATTGCATCATAATTAAAAGTAATGCATAATAATCTGCATCCATTTTTCTGTGAATTACATTTTTAAAAATTTTAATATGCACATGGATTTTGTAATTACTCTAAGCAACAATTGTAAAAAAAAGTGTTATTTCCTTTTGCTTGGTGCAGCAAGGGAAAAGATGTAACCAGGATAGTAAAAGGTTAAAAAAATTGACAGGTGTTGTAAATTACTCTTACATTTCTTTTTATAATCACTTTTGTAAACATTTGAGTTTTAAGAGGATACCTGATTTTGTTTTAGCAATTATTTTATAGTTATCAGTTTTACGTCTATTTTAAAACTATTTAGCTATTAAGAAATTTATAGCAAAAGAAAAGGGCATGCAAGATAGCTCCACAAATAAAAGCACATTCTGTATAAGGTAGTCACAAAATATATACATGACTTACTATATTATGTTATTTAAAGGTATGAAACGAGACAAATATTAACAGAAAATTATGTATTACTTCATAATAGGCAAACAGGATATTAAAAAATGAAATTATGTACATCTTAAAATACAGCAGTAAGTTTTCTTCACAGCTATATTATACTTTTCACTTTTTTTAAAGGAAGATGATTATGTAATCAAACAAAGCATTTCTTTATTATGCTTATTCTTAAGGTTTATCTTCAGCCAAGATAATATTATTAATGAGAAGCTTTTATTTATTCAAAGATTTCTACCCTCTTCAAAAAACTAAAAAAAAATTTCAGAAACTTGTTATAAAATAAATTAGTGTAAAATTTAAATTTTGTGTATGCCACTGAAATCAATTAATGTATATTTAGTGGGAAAAAAAGGAAAATATACAAAAATTTCTTTCTAGCTAACAATTATCTTAACAACCACATTTTATGCAATAACTGGTAGTACCACACAAAGTAAGTTTTTTGAAATCGACAGGTCTCACCCCCATTCACTATATTGTGTGTGATGAGGAGAAAGTCTTTCACAAAAGATAATCTTATTAACAACGAAGTCTAAAAATTAATTACCTTAAAAGGTTTCAGATACAATGCAACAAAGGAGTCATTCAAATAACTATATTTTGTTAAAAGTTGGAGAGAAACCAAAAGGGAAATTGGAAGCCGATAAATAGACAAAACATATTCTAGTCTTTAAAAAAATTAGTATGTAACAGGGACTTATCACAGATTCAAGGCTATGAGCTCTTTTATTTAAATTAGAATTGTTCATAATGGCATTATCACGGTTTGTGAAAATACTCATCAATTAAGCTGTGTATCTGTGCTATGACATTTACATTTTTATAACCATAACTCATAAGTGTGAAATTATGTTATAAAATGCCCTTATTTTATCCTTTTAACTTTGCCATGCATTATTAAAACTTGGTAAGTTTAAATTACATCTCACTTCTAAAACGTTGCAAATCACATTGGCTTCAAAAATGAAAAAAAAAAGAGGTTTCACACTTAAAATAGGGCATTTTTTAGAACACTTTTGCATGGTCATAAATTCAATGTTAGAAACAGTTTTTTCCATGCAATTTGCAAATTTTACTCCAATTTGGCACAAAATAAATAAACTTAAGATATATTAACACAAAATTTCATTATAGTTCACAGAGTAGTCATTGAAATTCAAAGAATTTTTAATTTCAACGAGTTTAAATAAAATAAGTTATAATCACATTATTACAATTATAAATATTGAAAACAGTTTGGCAAAATTAAACATTTAACAAAAAAAAATCAATATCCTAAAACTTAAAGTATCAACTTTGTTTCAAAATAGCAGTATTTGAAACTGGCTTTCAGATTTTAGTAACCAAACAACATGTTTGCTCAGGCCAAATTGTTATCAGAGTTTGACAAATACAGCTTTTTTAAAAACAATAGCGTTTCATAACTTCCTAGGCCAAAAGAATGCTAGATAACAAAAAAAAGTGAGTATGTATGTTCATTCATAGATATATACACTCATTTGTCAAATATAGGTATGCATTCATACAAATATATAAAATATACATAACACAAGTTTTGCTGTAGACATTGTGGGTTTCAATTTAAATATTGTTTCTTGCTTCCATTCTTTAACTCAATATGTGATGATGTAGATTAAAATCTGTCCCCAAGAAGTGTTCATTAGTTCTATGAGGAAACTAAAAGTTGAAGAGAAAAACAAGATTTATTTTTGTAGAAACATTCAAAACTGAAGCTAGTAGAGAAAAAAAAAGAGCAGTGAATGAATATTGACACATGGATAATGATATAATTATCACAAAATGTAGAAATTAATATCCTCTTTCACTGAAGAAAAATGCATACAAAATGATCAGTAATATTGTAATTAATTATGCAGCTTTAATTATAATAAATTATTTAACATTTTTTTAAAGTGCCTTTTGAGATGTGGCTAGCTCTTTATTTACAGTTGATACTTTTGCCAAACTGAGTACATTTGCCTCTTGTGCTACATTTCCTTTCACATTTTTTTCACCTTTCCCCCCACTTTTTTTACTGACACCATCTTTGTCTTTTGAGACAATTGAAGACAGATGGTCTTTAAGTGAAATAGACTTTTTTACATTTGAATTTACCAAATTTGAAGTCTCATTTAGGGTATGTTCTGCAACAAAACAATTGATTAATGGTGTGTTTAGATCTAAACATCTAACATGTGTGGAACTATTTGATGGAAATAAAGATGACTTGTTTTGATTACATGAAGAAACTATTGATGACCAATTTACTTCACTTGGGTTATACTTGGAATTGTTCATTTTATCTGTACACTCATTAGTGACATCTTGGGAAATTTTATCCTGCATGGAAGCATGCTCAGAGTTTGTAAATGCATTATCATCAGAAATACTTGTTAGTTTACCCAGTTCATGCTCCTTATTTGACAAATTGGTCTTTGATCGTAAATGTGACTTTTTATTTTTGCTTTTTTGGGGGGGAGGTGGTTGGTTTTTAGAAGCTAAAATCAACTCTTTTTGCTGTTGAACAGCTTGGGCTAAAATCTGCTGAACTGTGGCCACAATATCTTCTTCATTTTTTACAGTCTCTGGATCAACAGCCTTTTTACTTTCAGATTTTTTTGACTTCGATGACTTTGACTTAGATGATTTAAAAGACTGCAATGATTTTGTTCCAGGAACAGTAATTTGTTTTGTAATATCATTGACCACATGATGTGCACTTGATTCCTGAGGTTTGGTACCTGATGATGGAGTTATTGTTTGATTTTTATTAATGGATATTACCTGGTCAGGTGGTATCTCTTGTGACTGGACTGTTGCTACTACAGAAGAAAAGCTTTTAGATGGTGCTTGCATCAAATTCTGGACTCCATTGTGAATCACACCTACAGCTCCGCAAGTATTGGTTGGGGTTACCTGGTGAACAGCTAAAGCAGATGAAATATGATGAAGTTGTGCTGTTGCAGGAGAGAGTTGGTTCTGGTAACCTTGTGCCACTGGAGAAAGACTAGAGTGTATGGCATTTATATCCACTACTGAATTAAGTTGTATATTTTGTTGAGGAACTACAGTATTCATAATAGCCTGAGCTCCAATTGTAGCTTGGCCTGCAGAAGCATTTTGGTTTAGAGGTAGAGAAATGCCATGAACATTTTGGCCCTGATTTTGTAATTGTTGCAACAATAACTGCTGTAGCTGCAGGATTTGAAACTGTTGCTGCTGTTGTACTCCATTTATGTTAACGGCATTCATCATAGGACTAAATCCTGCATTGATTAAATTCTGAAGCAATGTATGATCAACTGCTGAAGATGATCCAATTAAATGAGTTAGGTCTGCAGACAAATTTGAAGCTGAGTTAAGCTGTGACGCTCCCAGCACTTGCATGATAGGGTTGTTATTTGGCTGAGGTATAACAAACACAGGTTGACCTGCTGATGCATACAATGAAGTATTTGGCAAGGTAATATTACTTTCTTTTACCTGAGAGCAACTATTCCTGTCAACAGCCTTTTCTAATTGTTCATCACTTCTGTGAACATTCTGAAAACTGTTCAAAATGTTAGGTTGGGAAATAGAATTCTGGATATCACTGTGATCAGAAGTAACAGTCAAAGTTGGTAAGGAAACACCAGCAAATATACTTTGGTTGTTAATTAATGAGTTTTGAGACTGTTTTTGAATATGGCTTTGAAGGAAAGAAGGTGACATTTGTTGCAAATGCTGATGACCTTGTGTTAGAATATGTGCTGCTATTGCTGGTGAAAGTTGAGACATAGGATTTGATGGTGAAACCTGTTGAATTGGATTTGTAATCAATAATTGATTATTAAGACCTTGTACTGAAAGTGCACTCATTATTTGAGTTCCGTGTGACGCACTGTTTATCAACTGAGAGCCATGACTGGAAGGACTTAAAAACTGGTTGTTATGCTGCGATGAACTTACTAGCTGCTGACCCTGAGTGGATGAATTTATCATATGAGTGGTAGAAGGTGCAGCAGCAGAGTTTATAATCTGAGCTGTGTTCTGCTGTGTGTTCATAAGTTGTTGAGCTAACTGTTGGGAGTTAAACATTGTCTGGTTGATGCCAATGGTAGGTACTACTTGTGCCAAGGACTTTGTTACATTTGTCACAACAGATAAAGATACTGGTGGCATTGAATTGTTCATAATCATACGGGAGTCAAAGCTATTCAGCAGCATAGTATCTTGAGAACACTGGGCAACATTTGGGCCAAGATTTGAAGGAATCACAGAGGCTACAGATATTTTTAATTGAGGCCCTATATCAGATGGTTGTGGCACTGTTGCTAGAATTCCTTGTGCCATTAAAGGATTTACAGAGCTAGTCCCAGAAACAGATGTTTTTAGTTCATGTTCTGTAGTGAAAGTACCTGTGAGATTTGAATCTGTTGTGTATGTCTGACTATGACAACACACTGGCAAAATCATATTCATAGCAAAATTGCCAGAAGGTAGTTGTTGAAATTGCATCATATTTCCAATTAGATTAGTATTATTTCCAATTTGTTGCAAACATGTTGAAGGTTGTTGAGAATGTTGATGAAGATGAGGAATGACTGGGTTTAAAATGGGCCCACAAAGAGAATTTGACAGTGTAACTTTGTGGTCACTATTGCTTACAGTGTTGATAGATGCTGGCATCAAAGCTTCACTAACACTGTTTAAAGCAGATGAGCCAACACAACTGGTTATTAAAGCAGGCTGCTTGTTTAGCACATTTACTTGAGCCCTTGCAGCTGCAGACAATAAATTGCTAGCAGGAAACTCCAAACCAGATAAAGATGCTTGAGATATAACTTGCTGGATTGCTGCATTAAACTGTCCGGGATCACTTGAACTGTACTGAGCTAAGATTTGCTGCAGTGCAGAAATATTCCAGTTGTTACATGCTAGTAGTTGAGAGAGATCACCACTAAGAGTACTTGGATGGTTTTTTTTTAATAAATCAGGATCTAAAATGGACTCTTCCTTTGTCATTAAAATTTTAGGTCTTGGCTTTATTTTAATTTTTTTTCTCTCCAATTTTGAAGTAATCAATGTGCTTTGAGTTTCAGCAAGTTTAGACAATAATCCAGAACTTGCACTCTTATCAAATGTTGGGCAGGATTCCTTGGTTAAAGCTGATTTTGTATCACATTCTTCAGGTTGTATGAGATGACAAACCTGAGAACTATTTAAATTTGATTCATTAAAAGATTCTGATGTTTCTGATCTATCAATGTCACTTCCTGTCTGGCTCAAATAAGCAGAATCATTTTCTGAGATCTCTGTGAAACTCTTTTCCTTATCCACATCCACAGAATCTGTTGGCAGTTTATGCTCTTCATTTAAGTTATCAATTTCTTTCTGTTCTAAAAAATACAAACTTTTTGGAGCTACTTCAATTTCAGAATTTGTAGTACTAACAGTGTTCTTTTTCAAGGAAACACAATAATTATGTTTGCTGGAATCAGATTTCATTGGACTAGGTGATGAGCATGCTATTTTGCAGGATGCTATTGAATTATTTATAATAGCTGTTTGTTGTTCAACAAATACTGTAGGATTTTCAAAGAATGACACAGATGAGGATGATATCACAGTTGATTTAGTTGCTTTATTGATGGATGTGTTACAATAACCATTATGACTGGCAATAGAGTTTACCAACTTCCGTTTATCTCTTTTATTCTTTAGTCTCTTGGGACTTTTTTTAGAGTCTAACCAGACTTGAATGCCAGATTGTGTTATTTGAGGTGTGCTATGCTTAGGGCATGGACTTTGATCCAAGTCTGCATGCAGATAATTTGCTGGATAGGGCATAGAACTTTGATGGTGGGAACAGGCTGTAGAGCTATTTGCAGAATTACTTTGCCACAGTGTGGGATCAAATCTCTCCGGGGAATGTTGAGCAGTTAACAATCCAACTTGATCCCTGCTAAACATACTTGAATTAATTAATGGTGCTGAGTGATGTAGATTATGTTGCTCTTGTAAATATTGCATCTGCAATTTATCACTTTTTGCAATTTTCACAGATTTGTGGTTTTGCATTGCATTGTTGGGCTGGTTACTGCTACTTTTAGATGAATCAGCATCAAGCTCTTTAATTCCTTCTAAATTTAATGACAACCTAACTTTACTTGCATGTTGTGATTGATTTAGGAATGTTTGTGTTTGCCTGCCATTGAGTAAAATGGAAGAATTAATTTTTTTTGTTTCCTCATCAACATCACTCTGTTCTTGGTAAGTTGCTTGCCCTAATTGGCTTATGGGATTTACTTGGCAAGAGAAGTCTGTTTTTGTAAAATTTTGTTGCATTTTAAAAATACTATAATCTTCATCTGGAAAATGTAAAGTCTCATTCGCAGAACTAGGCTTCAAATTTGTTTTATGGGCTAAATCATGAAGGGATGATTTTTTTTTCTCAGAAAATAATGCATGTTTGTTGACAGCTTGAGTAATACTTGTCTTAAGTTTTTTTAAGGGAGAAACAATTAATCCTTCTCCTGAACAAAGTGTTTTCTTGAACCTTTTCTTGCCAACTTGCAGGTGGTTATCTGGCAAACAGTAAAAAAAAAAAGGTAAAATTAAGTGAAACTAATTTGGGATGTACAATTTTTATCAGTCATGTTCTGAAAAGATATAATATTTACTGACTAACAATGTTAAAATTTATTTAATACTAGTGTGTACCCCCCCCCCCCCCCTAGCAGGATGCCCAATCAGTGTACCCCAGTAGCTAGGATAGCAGCTGTGGAACTTGGGGTGCCAACTGCACAAATTGGCAGTGGGTGCCGCTCATCTGATTCTTTTTTAATGCCAGAAAACTACACTGGAGAGTACTCAACAACCTACTTAAGTTCCATGTCACAGGGATGAATTGAATGGCATAGTAATGCATAAAAGACACACACAGACAGGGAACTGTGTAGTTGTGTAGGATATGAGAGCAGTATGACAGCTAACTCCAAAAATCCCTAGTTTGAAAAGTGGATGGGGGTTGTTAGCTTGAGATAACAAATAATCTAGAAGGGAAAACTTGAAAATTAGACAATTGCAGCCTTATAGTTAAGTTGCTATTTGTTCTTGGGTGAACAATGATTATGAAAGTGAATCCAGAAAAAAAAGGGAGACTGGAATCAGTCAACAGGCAATATGGCGCTTAACATGTAGACAAAAAATAATATTACAAGAATGAAGCAGAAACAGACATAGTTCATTCTAAAATAAAATAGCTACCCAGCAATAGTTGCCATAAATTAGTTAAAAATGTTTGTAAATTGTCATAAGAAAAGATTTATTTATTTATCTAACATTTTGTGGAAAAAGACTTGACCAAAAAAAAAGTCCCTTAGAGTTGTCTGTTTCCGGTTTCTAGGGGATTGTCAACTTCCCTTTTCTTTTTGAAATACATAATAGACTTATGAGCAGAAGGTATCAAGCTAAATAAGTGAATCAGGTTGCTATGTCCCAGGTCTCATGAGCCCTTCCCCCCACATTTATTATTGCAAGAATCAGTGATAGCCTTCATTTGTTAAAGGTTTGTGGCTTGAATTCTGATAATAGAAAAGCACATGTAAATAGTGAGTATGGCCAGAAGACTGCAGGGGTTGGGGAAAGGAGGGGGAGGAGGGGTTATCGTCCTTAACGAGCTACTGATAGTGATTTAATGCAAATATTTTCAGTGGCAGCATTGGTACTGTCAAATTCACAAATTATGAATTACTGAAAAGTAGAAAATAAAACAACTAAATAACAGCGGGTCGGCTCGTTCATAGTATTTTCAAAAAACTAATATAATTAACAATAGGCATAACATGGTTCTTTTTAATTAGCCATACCCAGTTATTGAATTAAAGTAGAAATTAATTGGACTTTAACCAATTGAATTGTATTTATAACTATAACAATAAGATTAACTAGCTGCATACCCCGTGCTCTGCCGCGGTAAATCTTTAAATGTACCAACTTGGGAACAGAACAAAACTAAACACTACACAAAAACAACACAAACACAAAAGAAAACACAACACAAACGAAAACATAAAGCAAACATAAACACAAACGCAACACAGAAACACAAAAGACAACACTCATCAATTTGCATTCACATTTTGCTAATTATATTATTGCAACACTAATTTCCTCATGGAGGTCCGCATAATTTGCATCCACATTTTGCTATTTCTATTATTGCAAAACTAATTCCTTCTAGGACGACCGTAGATTTTGCAATCACATTTTTAAAAAATTAGCGTGGGTTGAATTCATTTTTAAATTACCTCCCTTGGAAATTGACAAACCAGTTTAATCAATTCGTTTTTTCGACCCTATTATTATTAAAATGTATCGACTTTTATCTAGGAATCAAAACGAAAATGATATTTAACATTGATCTGCTTAATATGTTTTTGCAATGTGCGTGTATTTAATATTTTCTTTACATTATGCGGAAGAGTAAAAACAGTGGAAACTATAAAATAAATGTGTCATTATATAAACAAACCCTACTCTATCACTTATACTTAGACAATGTGATGCACTGAAAAGCACTGCATGGTGCGATGTTTACTTTTATGGTTCCAAAATGTATAGTGATGACACGAAGACTGACACACTACCAGTCCGCTTATATTATAGATACTTGATTTATTTAGCAGATTTGGGCATTAAATGGAAGAATAAAAAAGCCTGGTGAGACATGGATTTTAAGTGGTCTAGGTGGCTGTCCACCACATTTGTATGGATGGATTTGGAGAAACTTTTTAAAATGTAAAATAAAACCAGAATTTATAAATGTTTTTATTTGTATCATATTTAAAATTTACAAACTAAACCTTTAAAAATGATAGTGTAAAATTAAAATGATTAGCAGCTTTACAAAGTTGAGACAATTCATTTGCTGACAACAACGAAAAAAACATTTAATTGAACTAGTTGGAATAATATTAAAAAACCCCTTACTTTGTTAATGCTCTGTATTTGTCAGTGCATACTAAAATTAAAATAAATTTTATGAATGTCTAAATTAATATGTAAATTGAAAGATGTTTCAATAATGTTGCAATTTATTATTTTCCAAATCACTAAAATTTTTTTAGGCACAATTGATAGAAAAAGATTAATCACTATATCATCTGTACAACAAATCTTGCAGTGGCATAGTAAGCTATAATTTTATTAATGTCGGCAAAAATTTCTGAAATCTGTTTATAAGATTTCTGTGGTTAAAGCATATAGTGCCACTTATGTCATTAATTATAGAATTTAACTTTATCACCTTCATTAATAAAATATTCTTGAGTTAATTCATAGCATGAAACTTGTACATGAAGTAAACAAATCATCAATTACTGTATCTCTAAATCAAGAGAATCTGTATTGTCGCTAGTGCTGGTGGCTATCATCTGCATATTGATGGCTAATTTCAAGTTGGGAAGTGTTGATGGTCTGATAACTGCAGCATTGAATTAGCATCACCAACACCCATTTCCAATGGGGAAGCGGTGTTTGATTACCACTGCATTGGATATTTGTCGAATTGCCCAATGGTAGTACCGAAAGTGCCTCTCCAGCTTCATGATCTTGTTTCTTTACTCGTCTCTGTGTGCCTTTCAACTGATGATTTTACTTTTCCCATAGAAATATTATCATGTCCAAGGAGAAGAGTAGGAGCCCAGTTGATGTGTTATATGTGTGAAGGTTGCAGGTATACCTGGAAAAATGGAATAATAAAATAAAAAAAGATTAACCATGAATAGTAGGCCTACTTAAAAATAATCTGTCTGCCTAACTTAGTGGAGCCAGTCACCCATTCTTTTTTTGATAAATTCATTTGCTTGAACTTAATACAATTATTTAATATTAGAGTTTATTAATAATTAAACCCTAGCTAAATACTAGATGAAATTTAACTAGAGCTAAACTAACTAAACTCCGACTGACACTGTCATATAAATTAGACTCTAGAAATAAAATACTCTAAATCTAAATTAACTTTATTATTACTTTTAGCCTATTAGTTTTTGTGAAGGCCAAATATATTTTGACTTTATTATAGTACATAATGTTTTAAAAATGTCCTTTGTTAATTATAATTAAAATGATGTTTATTGTTTACAGTCCTTACCTGAATCAGATTCGCATGTTTACAGATGTTTCATTCACGCCGCTTCAATAGATATTTGCCAAAAATTGATCTCCTTCACCTTGTGTAATATTTTTTTGCAGTCGAAATAAAGAAAGTCTTTAGAATGTCCACCTCAAGTACTACAACTTTTCACACAGCAAATCACCATTTTGAATGTTATGAGCCAACATGACTGAGGTTTACATAGTGACTGATACATGACGTCATTTGTAAGGGGTCTATTTGGGATAAAAAAAATTGACCTAACTACTATTTTAAATTATAACCAACATTATAATTAAAACAAACAACAAACCTGTTAGTTTTTCAGCCACATTAGTTCGTGAATTATGAAATGCAGCTAAAGCTATAATTTCACGACGATGATTGCAAAGATTTCCCAAATCTTCCCCATTGGTAGTTACACTCCAGGGCTGACTTCCAATCTCAGGATCAAAGTTAAAAAATGTTTCCACTTGTAATGGGCACTCCAGGCCACATTTACATGTAGTGTCACTCAATAGATACTTGCAAATTTGATCAATTGATTGAAGAATTTCTCCACTTGGGCTGTAACAAAAAAGGCATCAAATAACATTCAAGGTTTCAATAACTAATGTTTCTAATGCTCTTATTGTTATTTTACAATTACAGCTTTACTATATAGAATATATGTACGTAAAATACAGAGGTTAAAAAAAACTTAGTATAATTACTGATTACTCGAGTTCAAATAAGAAAAGCAGTTATAAACAATTAGAAATTTAATTAGCTTGAAACATTTCCAGATCATGAACAATGACTTCATATGAACATTGTGCACAACTTTAAAAGATCTTGTCATAGGATGTCCTGTCATAGGGTACCTGACTAGCATTAGGGATTACACATTCACTATATAACAAGGTCATAGAAACAGTGGAACTTTACTTCATCTGCCCTATTGACCAACAGGTCTGAAAAAGTAACTAATAATAATGGGTAAAAAAACTTTAAAATAATAATCATTAAAAAAGTTTTAAAAAACCCACGTTTTCTGATTGAACTAAAAAGTAGAAAATAAATGTTATACATCACAATAATGCAAGCGATCACTCTACTATAAGCGATGAAAAACGTGGGGCGCCGAAGTAAAAGTTATATTACTATTGATTAGATAATACTACTGACTTTTATTAGGGAGCTTGTAGAGAGTCAACAGTATTAGAAACTGTAAGAAAATCACGGCGCCCCACGTTTATGATCGCTTATAGTAGAGTGATCGCTTGCATTATTGTGATGTATAACATTTATTTTCTACTTTTTAGTTCAATCAGAAAACGTGGGTTTTTAAAAACTTTTTTTAATGATTATTATTTTCTACTTTTTAGTCTTTGTCTGTTTGTTTGCATTAAAATCTCGTAAAAGTTGTATAGCATTAAAGTCTCGTAAAAAGACAACTCGTAAAAAACACGTTGTGTGAATACGTTACTGACTAGAACACATAGATTTGAACCCGCGCCGAGTGGGATAGCAATCGTGTGCCCAACCACTCGACCATATCGTCTCCCCCATACTGGCCACCAGTTGTTACGTTCTGGTTGTTTGTACACAAACACTGCGTGAACACTAGTCAGTAAGCAAAAAGCGCTAACTAACCGGGAAGTGCCAGAAATTTTGATCGCAAGATTTGATTGGAGAACCAAACAGACGCGAAAGCAAGTTAAAGAAAACGTGGGAAAAATAAATAATGACAGCTGAATGATATAAAAACTTTATTAAACCTAGTAATCTAAGCAATTTGCTTTGGTTAAAAATAAAATCCAACATAATATTAATTTACACTGATACTTTTTAAATTAACAGTGAGAAAATGAAACATAAGTGACATACCTTTTATATTCTATTACTCCATTTTCCAAATTTCTTTGCCAGCAAAAAGGGACTTTTACTTTATTTGTATCAGCACTTAAATTAGATATTTGTTTATTTTCAAAATCACAAGATGAATCCTTTTCAGTTCCAACACTTCTGTGTTTTAGTAATTTATCTGATATGCTGGCATTTTCTCTGGAACAAGGAGAAGTTGATGTCACTGAAGTTGTTGTCAAATCAACATGATGGTCACTAGATGCTAAAGTTGATGTCACTGTAGTTGTAATGGATGAAGATACAGATAATGCCATTGGAACAACAGAATTGGGTAATGCTGAAATGTTCTGTTTTTCACCAGAAGACTGCATTGAAAGTACTGATGGAGAAGTTACAAGTGAAACTAAAGCTGGAGATGAATATATCGGAATTTGGATTGTGGAACATTCTGTCAATCCTTTTGAATAACTCATTGGGACAGGAGAGAATAATGAATCTGCACTGCTAGGTGGTGTAAAGCTGTAAGGAGGTGATGAAAAATTAGAAGCTTCTGAAGATGATCTTTCTAATGAACTTCCTGTGGAAGATGTATGAAATTTTTTGGGGATATACTGACTTCTTTGATGTATACTTTGCCAATGATGCTGAAGACTTGACACATGTTTCTCAGGTATATTTTCAGATTCTTTTAAATTACCACCAAGGTTATTTTGAGTTAGTAAGTCAGGATTAAAATTGGAAACAGATTTTTCTTGAAAATTGTTCGCAGGGAATGTGTCACAGTGGTTCAATGAATCCAGAGTAACAGTAACTTTTGGTGGTCCTGATATTGTATAAGTGACAGCAGTTGAAGATTTCTTTTCATCACAAGAGGATACATTGTGTGAAGTTGCGAACGATAATGTACTGTTTAAAGATGCGTTTCCCTTTCCTTGATTGAAATTACGATTATTGCCTGTATCTTTAACTTTTGGTGACATCTTGGGTGAAATGCAATTAAGTTGTGATGGCATGGATTGAGTTGGTGGTATAGAAACCGGTATAGCCAGTTGCTGAGATTTCTGATTTTGGTGTTGCATTTTAATCATTTGTATACTTGGTAAAGTTTGAAAACTTGTGGATGCGTATTGCTGAGTATGCATTGCCTGTTGATGAAGATTTTGAAACTGCTGTGAATGATAATGGTGTTGGGGAACCACACCAATTTGTTTCTGATTTTGAAACTGCGACCACAAATGATTAAAAGGAGGCAAAGTGCTTTGACAAGAATCATTAGATGAAGTATTATTATTCTGTGGTTGAAGCCAGCTTGTAAATTGCTGCTTATTGTAAGCAAACATATTACCTTGACCAGTGACACCTAAGGTTTGATTGAGAGAATTATCATGATTTTGTTCAATGAAGCTAGAATTTCCCATTATGTCTACACCAACAATGGCTTGCTGTAAACCAAATGCTGCATCAGACTGTTGCACCATCCTATTATCTGGATTAGAAATAAACTTAAGACCATTTTTTTGCTGCAAATAAAGCACTCCATCCATCCCACTGACTGCATGAACTGTATTTCTGTCTATCCCAAAAGACATTCCTTGTTTGATGTAAGGTTGGGTGACCATGCCATTTTGCCCAAGTCTATGATGCATCCCACCAGAAAGCCCCAATGGATGAGTTTCTTTTTGGTGAAACATGTTATTTCCCCCTGCAAACTGGAATTGATAGATGCCAGATGTTGGAACAGAATGGGTATATTGCTGTGGGAAAATCTGCTGTTGCTGAAACTGTTGCTGTTGAACATGGTGTTGTATATGAACTTGAGGGGTTGTAGCCAACCCATGACTGAATGTATACTGTTGAGTGTCATAGTTCATTGTTACCTCAAACCAAGAACACAACCGTAGAAAATATATTTTATGTTGGTGACAGTAACAAAGTAAGCCTGACAGCTTTATTACAAGTACTTAGAATTTGCAACTGTTTGTATATTAAATGTTTCTCCATTATTTATGTCATATATCTTTTGTTTTTCTTGTCTTTGTCAATATCTTGTAATTCTTGGGCTTTTAACTTCATGCTATAGCAGATGAAGAATAAAAAAAAAATGTAATAACTGCTTTTTTAGACACAAAAATTGTTATAATGGCAAGCTTTCAAGTGCATTAATTAAAAAAAATATTAACATTATTAGTTAAAATATTATTAAAATATCTTAGGATAAAATTCAGTTGCTAACATTTTAAAACTTGCATAAGCATGTAACTGCATCTTATGAACCCCCCCCCTCCCACACATCCTCATAAAATTCCACACCCCCTCCCCTTGGAAGGATGACATTGTGTAAGGATGACCCCTACCCAACTATTCAAGAGCGCTTAATCATTAATGACCCATAATGCCCGCAACCCATGATGGCCCGTAACGCCTGCTTACGATACGCATAGAAAAATTAAATTTGTTTCATAAAAATGGAGCCTAAAAATTCCAAATTTTTAACTAAACAGGAAGTTGGATTCAAAGGCAATTTTGAAATATACATAATATTAGTCTCTTTTCATCCAGAAATTTTAGACTCATGTCCTTTTTTAGTTGATTTAAAATTAAAAATAAAATAAAAGCATGCTTAAAAACGTATCTAGACATGTATTTTACCAATTATATATCTTAAACATAACCAAATTGATATTCAACTGTTAAATTTGATACATAGTTGTTAAGACAAAAATAAAGTTAACTACCCAAATTGATGCATTTAGGATTTTCTCTGACATTTTTAATTTTTATACTGTTCTTCTACTGAATAGGCCTATATTATATTCTCTGTAATACTGTTGGAAAGCCAGATTTAATTCTAACCAGAAGTTTTTATCTTAATTATTAATTTCATTTAGACAAAAATATTTTGTGAAAGGGTTCATACAGAGGTATGCTCCTTACATTGGGACGTTTTTGGTAGAATAAATGAGTCATTAATGGTTAAACCTCATTAAAAACTGCGAATAAATTACACAAACAAATATGACCTTACAAACCCAACCAAAACTATTTCATTACATAAAATTTTATCTTTAAATTAAAATCCAAGTCCTAATGACACCTAAGACAAGAGGTCATAGACTAATATTATTTTTGGAAGTGAAATTCCCGAGTTTTTAATGTTTTTTTTTAAGTCACATAAAATTTCAATTTAGTTAGAGTATTGAAAACTTTTGTAGATCTATGTCTATTGCATTATTGTGATGTATAACATTTATTTTCTACTTTTTAGTTCAATCAGAAAACGTGGGTTTTTTAAAACTTTTTTAATGATTATTATTTTCTACTTTTTAGTCTTTGTCTGTTTGTTTGCATTAAAATCTCGTAAAAGTTGTATAGCATTAAAGTCTCGTAAAAAGACAACTCGTAAAAAACACGTTGTGTGAATACGTTACTGACTAGAATTTATTTTAGTATTTAGATTATTAGATATGTCTACTAAATAATAAACTAGATATCTACTAGATCAATAGAAAATAGATTACAATGAGTCTAGAGATCTAGATCTAAGAGGAGTTCTAGAAGATTTAGTGATTCTAGTTAAGTACTAACTAGGTAATGTATCAGTTTGGGGATTTAAATTTGGCCAAAACTAGTAATATGGTGATGAGGTAAAAAATATTTTAAAAAATATGAAAAATATAACAGATAACTGATCAATAGATCATAATTAAGGCCCAAAACAACAAAAATTAATGTTTACCTTATAACTTAAAAAATTAAATTTTTACAATATAACAAACATAGTAATGAAGTTTTATTTTAACATTAAGCTAATTTTAACTGTAATGATCTAGTTGTACTCGTTTTCAATTTAAAATTATGCCTTATGATAGTATGTGTGTCTTTTTGCTTGGTTGTCTTTTATGCAATTACTACACCTTTCATTCGATCAGGATGAAACTTTATGAAGTTGTTGAGAATAGGGCCTACTCCTGGGAAGGTTCCTGTGAAAAATTTTTTTTTCTATTTTGCACTAGCGTCGCCCCAGCAGGATGTGATTTGGTGCCCTGGGCTTTCCCATGAGCAACATGGCACCTACGTTAGTTTTATATATAAGAGCACCCTACAAATAATGACAAGGGTGGCACACATATTTCGATGATTAAACAGAGCCAGAGGCTCCTCCTCCCTGACACCTGAGAGGTTGCCGAAGTGTTTTACCTCCCTATTATGGTGAGTGATTAATGTATACTCAAGGCTTTTATACAGCATGCTTGGCTGTAGAGTAGGTAAACCCGTGCCCCGATAAATATGATCCAAGCGCAGACATTGTTTACATTTAAATAACTCAGTTTTAGAAAACAAGGTCACACGTCTAAGAATATAGGATTGGTAAGGACAATATAACCCGGTTAAATACATGTTAGACGGTCACCATAGAATGTGAAGTGAGTGAAAGATATGTCGGTGTGCTCAAATGTATTTTCTATGATTAAGTGTAGGCTGTACACTCGTTCAATGATGGATTCATATTATTAATGTGTAAATTAAGTAATCTAGTTATGCATACTGGGGCACAATTTCTTGTATTCAGTAACTCACTATCACAGGTATGTATGAACCACCTATACACACAGTGAAAGAATTAATATTTGTATAAACATCTTTGTTTAAATTTATGCTTTTCGAATACCTGTAGATTGTTATTAAAAATATTCATATTTTCCTTCCACAAAAGGTCACGGTCAAGGCCACATTGAATTCACATTAGTTTTGAAATCAGTATGCCTAGGCTATAAAATAAGTCATAACAAGAACATATATTTGGGGGAAAATAAAAATGCCTTCAGTAAAACAAGCAGTACCAAACTTGCACTAGGGGTTATGGTGAGGACCCAAAGAGCCACAGTTGCTACACAAAGTCACCTATATAATTTAATATAAATTACAGATTGTGAAATAAAATAGAATTAGAAGCAGAGACAAAAGGTAGAGTTAATACCGGTAGATAAATTAAGCTGTAACTAATCCACCTCGATTAACAGTCAAGAAACCAAGCTTGGGAGATGTGAATTTCATTTGAAGAGCTGTATTATTTTAGATAACTTATTTCAGTGTTCTTGATAAATACTTAACTTAAAATACCAGCGGAAAATTTTGACTAACAAAAGTTGCATTCTGAAAAATTTGTAAATCTGACGAGATTCTGAACCTTGACCTACATTTTATCTTAATCTAGCACTGTCAGACCTAGCGCAATTGTCCAACTGAAAAGAAATGAGCATATTTGATTGCCCGTTTGACCTAATACCTGTACTGTAAATCTGTAATACTCTATAGGAATACGTGGAATACGCATGTAGGCTGTTTCTGTAAAGGCTATTTACGTTTTTATTCCTAATTTTTTTTTAATTTCGTGAAAAATCTGCAAAAATAAAAAATCTGAGGAAAAATTAGGAGAAAATGGAATTAGCGAAGGAAAAATGCATGGAAAAGGAAAAGTCTGATTTGCACTAAATATCGGAAGTCTAATCCCTGGTAATACCCCTTCAATTTTCTTTAGACCATCTGAAAATCCATGTGATAAGAAATCATTTTTTAACACCATTTTAATCTATAATACGATACTTGTTTAAGCTGAAGTTATTGGTAGTATTTTAAATGATCCTCCATTGTTATATAGCTATCACTATCAGGTTACATAATCCCATCCTCTGCTTAAATATACCATGAATTTATTTTTAAAACACATTTCCTCATCAGTTAGCTTCATATGAATATTAAAAGTAAATGTAACCAATACAGTTTTTTTTTGTACAAAGTGAACGATGTTGTTACAATATGGCGGAAAACAGATCCCCCCGCAAATTGCATATTTGATCTTTGTCGTTTAAAATCATCTAAACAAGGCATTGCTGATATTGATATATCGAACAATGTCTGTGGACGCTTCGTGTACAATATTTTTGCAGGATTAGTTTTTGACGATATTTTAAGCTTCTGCAAAGGACGCGAAAGCACGACGGAAGGCAACTACTTGGGTTTACTTATACTTCTAAAATAATTAAGTAGTATTAATCTTAAAGTTTAAAAAAAAAGTTTATTATCTGACCTATACTGTATTGTCTTAACAGTTACAAGGACTAGATCTAGATTTTTGTCAGATCTATTTTTAGTTTAGGATAGGCCTATTAATTTTATTATCAACATTATCTATTTTGTTTGATATTTCTTTAATAAACATGTGAATGGGCCTATTAAGTTTTATTACTAACAAGATGTTTGGGTTTATTGTTAAGTAAAATAGCCTATGTTGTCATAATAGACATGACATCATGCTAAAAATAGAGAACACAAACCAAAATAACTTTTTGGCCATTTTTGATGGCGAAAAAAGAGTTTCACGTTTTAAGCAGTTATTAGGTCATTTTGTTTTTGTTTGTTTTCTTGGCCCCTAATTAAGCTAGACCATTAAATTTAGCCTCAAATTAACCAGTAAGTGATATGGCAGGAAACAGATTAGTACCGGAAAATGCATATTCGATCTTCGCCGTTCATAAACTTTCTAACCAGACATCGTTCGGGGATTTTGTTTATACTGATAAATAGAGCTATGTTTTTACAAGCTTCGTTAGAAACATTTTTGTGGAATACGTTTTTTATGACATTTTGTGCCGCGGCGAAGGATGCGAAGTATGCAAATCTGGACGGAATGGATCTACTTGGAAAAGTACGTGTACTGCACTAATAAGGTAAGAAATACTATTTTGTAAAAATAACTATTATTTTTATGGATTTTTCATTAGAAATGATTGCTGTAAATTATGAAAGTAAAAAAAAGTATATTTGAATGTGTTTTTTACTTTAATTTGAACAAAGTGAATGGCCATAATTACGACACATCGGCGTCGTTGAAAGCGGGGATTTCAGTTAATTTTTTACGGATATAAAATTGTATTTTTTTCCTCCGAGGCATGTACTTAAATAACAGTTTAGTTAAATGTATTTAATTCTGTAAAATATAAGTATTATTTTGCCGTAGATACTTTAAAAAAATTTTTTTATGATTTTCTGTCGGGGAAAATCGATATTCGCACCATGCACGCACGCGTAGTAAAACTAGACTTATCTTTAAAACACGAGAATCTTGAGTACACTGCGAATAACAAAGTTTTTAAATTTTAGTTTACTTTTGACTTTAAGCCATTTGTTTTAAATCGAAATTAATTGATAATGTAATTATTTCAAAGTAAAAATTTTCCGTCTGATTGGGTTCTAATCTTCGCCCACTGAACCAGCTTACGCACGACATTCGCGCGAGTCTGTTTCTTCGCAATAGTCTGTATAGTGTCGAGGGCTAATTCTAAAAAGAATCGAGTCCTTACTAATCCAATGTTTATTAAAATTAGGTACAATTGTTGGAACGCATGAGAAATAACAAATTAATATTTCTTTAAATCTATAGCCAAAAGAAAGTAGAACTTTATAACTCTGTAAATTATGAATCGAGTGACGGCTGTCGTGAAAACGGGAGCCATTTTACTCTTTTTTTTAGGGTGACCTACTTTTATTATATAATTTTAAAATTCATCGATTTGATAAGCAGCTGAGTAGCTGACTACGCATGCGATATGGCTGGCACGTTTTGGGATAGGGATCGAGTACACCATAGAATTTTTTTTTTCTTAGAACTAAGCGTATTTTTTTTTAATCAAAAGATACTTACATATCAGTTGTTGATTTCAATTTCATTATAGATCTAATCACTAACTTCAGTTTTTAAAAGTGATTTTGCATCTAGATCTAGCGTATTTTCAAAATTACGTAAATCTAGATCTATTTTTTAGATCTAGATCTAGACTTACTATTTGACAACCGTGTCAGTAAAATGAGGTCAGCGCTTCCAGATTCTTGGGTTTTAATTATGTTTGTCATTTTGATCTATTATAAGTAGCATTAAAACAACTGCATCTATTATCAACATTGTTTTTATATGCCAGTTCTAATTATACATTCTGTTCATTACCAATTCTAATGAAATCGTATCAGGCCCTAACACCCTGTTCACCTACACTCCTACACTGACACTACACTTGAAAGACGCCACAGAGAGTCGTAACTTTAAATTAATGTTTAAAGTACTAAACAATTATAACTAGCCATGTAAATGCTGCAACTATATTAAAAATTGGCATATAGACATATTTTATTAATTATGTTTTTTATATAGACCTTCTAGATCTATATTTAACTCTGTTATTTTTTTCTTCCCCAGAGTGTTTCTAAAAGCCAGAATTTTAAAGGGGAGGGCGGTCGTTTTTTTTCTCAAGAATAATTATAGAAATAAGCTATAAACTGGTATATTTTGTAAAGTTTGACACATTTACAAATAAATGTATGCCTAAGTGACATTTCTGTGTAATTATATTGTTAATTTTGTGAATTTCGTGGATTTTTAGACCTCACTACATTTAGATGTAAAAAAAAATCTCAGTTGAGTGAGTGTGGTTAATCTACATTTTGAACGTGATGTAAATGTCTAGTGCTATTAATTTTTATATTTTTGAATTCCTCGATTGTTAAGCAACAAAATTGATATATAATATGTCAATAATTGTTACTTTGAAAATTGGCGAAAATCGACCCTAAAAGTAGATGCTTGAGGGTTGAATCTGTTTCCTGCCATATGGTTTGTAATGGTACATAAGTAACAGAAAATTTTAATTAAAAATTTAATGAAAAATCTAATAAATTCCATTTTGTTTGGCCCCTACTCCATTGTCCCCCGTCCCCCCTCCCGAGAGAAATGCCTGGAAGAAACTGTGCTGGTAAATTGCTGGAATCCTGTAACTACTAAACCTGATCTAATGAAAAATTTAATTTAAAACAATGTAAACAAAGCATAGGCCCTAATTATTCTAAAAAAAGAGTCAGAATATTATTTACTACGAAGTGACTACTCAGAAAAAGATTTTTCGCCCCAATGTCTACACCTAGTCAGCAAAAGATAGTTCTGCGCATGCGCAGTGACCTATGGCTAGGGTTCTGCGGTTGTAAACACACACATGCGCAGTACCATCAAAAAACATCGCAGCGAAGGCAAGTCGTGGTTTCTCTACATTGCGCATGCGTATCTCTTTCTGGCTAGCATCTGCCTTTAATTATGATCCTACTGTTAGTACTGTAACCTGTTCTAGATCTAGATCTAAAATTCTAAACAGTTACGGTAATCTATTGTTCTAGGTATGTAAAATCAGCAGAAGCTATTAATGTGCGAGAAAGGTGGCTCATTAATATGGCTTTAATACAAGTAGTATATTATTATATTTTTTTTTCAAATATACCAGATAATTGAATAATAAACCAAAAGCAATCTCTTAATATATCAATTAAGGCCAGACATTAACGTTAAACAGCCTTGTTTGCAAGCAAGATTTGCTACGTAAACAGCAGCCATATGTAAATTAGAGTGGTTTCCCCTGAATCTCTAGCTAAAATGTTACCAAAAACTTAAGATGGCTTCTAAAGTAAATTAGCTCTGTTGCATCTGATAAAAACATTGCTAATATTTATTTTTAAATGAAAAATTTTAATACAACTGTTTAAAATAATAAATCTTTCTAAAAATGTTACTAGGCTCGGCCGATATTACGTTCCTAAAAGTTTTAAAACAATAGATTATTAGATTTCCATAGTTGCTAGACAGATCTAAATACTAAATAAATTAAAGATCTAGTCTAGACTCTAGATTTCTAGTTCTAGATCTACTCATCGACTGCTAGAATCTAGTTTCTACTAAAAATAACTAAACTAGATCTAAAGTCTAGATTCAATCTAGATCTATCTGGAATCTAGAATTCTTAATTCTAGATTATTAGGCCTAGAATTTTTTTTATTTAGGCCCTAGGGCCTATGTAAAATTATAAAATATATTATATAGGCCTAGGCCTATAGAATAGATCGGTATTCTATCGTTTTGGGTACGTAAAATCGCCCCCGCGGCTATTAATGTACGAAAATGTTACCTCATTGTCAAGGCTGTAATAGAAGTATATTGACTATATTGTGATATGTTTGTGTCAAATATTAGGCCCTATAGATAAATGAATAGGCCTAATAAACCTAAATCAATGGCTAAATATATCAATATAGGCCAGAAATTAACTTTAAACAGCAGTGTCTGCAAGCAAGATTAGCTATATAAACAGCAGCCATTTGTAAAAGAGTGACTTCCCCCTGAATCTTGCGCTGTAAGTCTTATAAAAATAAAACTTTAACAAGATGGCTGCTATAGTAAATGAGCATGGTTGCATCTGTTGGAAACATCGCTAGTGTTCATTTATTACTGAAAAGTTTTAATATAATTGTTTAAAAACAGGTACATAAATGAAACAAGGAACCATTTTTGTATTTTTCAAAACATAAATCCGATTAAATCCTCCTCAAAATGTGAAATAATTATTAAAATGTAAGGAGTCACCTGTTTTTCACATTACTAGTCGCGGGGATTTTCGTACCTAAACCGATAGATTACCAATAGATCTAGAATCTAGTCTAGGCCTAGATATAGATACTATTAGATAATAGATAGATCTAGATTAATCTAGATTACCAAATCAAGAGTAGATTACCAAATCAAGAGAAGTGTAGCTAGATCTAAATCTAGATCTCATTCTCTAGAGTCTAGCTAGACTAGACTCTAGATCCAATATAATTCCATGTTTAGTTTCTAGAATCTAGATTACTAATACTACTAATAGAACTAGACTTTACTAGAAAATCTAGATCTAGATTCTAGATCTAGACTAACTATATAACTAAACTTTACTAAACTGAGACTAAACTCCCTACCCTACTCACTACTCTCAACTATTCTACTATTAAGTCATAATTAAGTTAAAGTGGAAAGGGAAACGGTACCTTTATCTTAAATAAGAACAGTATTTGGACAATAAGTGTCTCCGTTAACATGACTGAATCTTACACAATGCAATATTCGCATTAAGTAGAATATTTTAATACGAGATTCCATTCTATATTTTCATCTAGATCAAGATTTACTATGTGTGTATATATATATGTGTATCATGGCCGATTGTATTCTGGGCATGCGCATTGTCCCATAATGCTTCTGAATAGCCTAAACCGGATTTAGTTGCTAAATATTAACACTTTTAGTTTTAGTGCCTATTTAGATCTACATCTAATCTAGATCTAGTAGTAGATCTAAGAATCTAGATCTAGATCTATTTAGGCCTACTAAAGTAGATCTATAAAAGAAACATGAAATAGATCAAAGCTTAGCTTTTTTAAATTAAATAAAACAATTTCAAGCTATGCTTAGTTACTCATTAGCTTACTAGGTTCTATTAATTTATTACTTAAAATTCTGGGCAAAGCCCCCCCCCCCCCCGAAAATTTTTTACCGCCCCCCCCCCCCCCGAACGAAATGAAATTTATATAATTTATAAAGAAAATATATACTTTTAACAATGTCCGCCCCCCCCCCCCCGAAGAAAGTTTACCGCCCCCCCCCTCCCCGAAAATTTCAAGTGCCCCCTCCCCCCGGAGAAAAAAGTCTGGAAGAAACACTGATCAAGTTGGTTGCAGAAATAGTAAAAAGTCCCCATCCTCCCGAACTTGATTTAAGCCTTTGTATAAACTAGTCGTGTCGGCTAGGCACTGCACTAGCTTTTGTTAAAAACGTTTCCTTAAAGGGCCGTGACGCGTGTTTATTCAGCAGAAAATAATATTAAATTTCAAATTAAATGTCTATATACAAATATTTTGAGGAAAGATATAGATTCTATAAACCTAACTCTAAACATTATCCTAACCAACCAAAACAACAAGCACTAAGGGGTCGTCCATAAATGACGTCACACGCCTAGGGGATGGAGGGGGTTCAGACTTTTGTGACGATGTGTGACGACAGACTTTTGTGACGATGTGTGACGAGGGGGAGGGGGGGTAGAGACAGTGTGACGTCACGTTGTCCTAATTCCACGAATTGATTAACATACATTTTTTTTTTAGAAAAATAAACTTACTAAATACTAAATAATTTTTTACATTGGTTGCGATACTTCTAAGTTGTCAAAAGATTGTGAAATATATCGTTGTATAAAATCAAGCTTTTCAATCAAATGGAAAAACTAAAACTAATAGGTGGAACATTCTGAATAATAGTCTAAATACATGTCTAGAATATTGGTCTTACGGTTCAAATAATTCATTTTAAAAAATTGGTGGCCGGAAAGAACCGCAACGGAAAAAAGCGCAACGGAAAAAGCGCAAAACAAAAAGCGCAACGGAAATAAGCGCACGCGGAAAAAAGCGCAAAGAGAAAAAAGCGCACACGGAAAAAAGCGCAAAGAGAAAAAAGCGCAAAGAGAAAAAAGCGCACACAGAAAAAAGCGCAAACAGAAAAAAGCGCACACGGAAAAAAGCGCAAAGAGAAAAAAGCGCACACGGAAAAAAGCGCAAAGAGAAAAAAGCGCAAAAAGAAAAAAGCGCACACAGAAAAAAGCGCAAACAGAAAAAAGAGCAAACGGAAAAAAGCGCAAACAGAAAAAAGCGCAAACGGAAAAAAGCGCAAACAGAAAAAAAGCACACACAGAAAAAAGCGCAAACGGAAAAAAGCGCAAACGGAAAAAAGCGCACACAGAAAAAAGCGCAAACAGAAAAAAGCGCAAACGGAAAAAAGCGCAAACAGAAAAAAGCGCACACAGAAAAAAGCGCAAACGGAAAAAAGCGCAAACAGAAAAATGCGCAACCAGAAAAAACAACGAAAAATGTGCAAAAGAGAAACTTAGCACAAATACCTATATCGACTAGATGACACATTTATACATGACTGTTAGGGCTGCTGTGAGAGTGTCGTGTTTGATCACGTGATTTACTACCATTTAAAGCGTACCACTACCATGTTCATTCCCCTCACCGATACAGGCGATAATCGCTTTACACAATGCCTATTATTTTCTTGGTCAATAATTATTCAACTACTATTCTCGTATAAATAAACATAAAACTATCCTTGATATCGACATTACACGAAGTATCTCTCACATTCTCCCTAGTCCGAACTACCTAGCTTGCATACCATAACTACCCGTTCCTATGGCAAAACTTCACTCTCTTTCATCCGCGTCATCTAACATGCATCTAACATGCATATATAATTCTCTTCTGGGAGACGCTAGAAAACAAGCTGTAAGCGCGCTCCCTACCACCCCACCCCTACATGGTCTGTTGAGCTGTTGTTCACGCTCAATGTTTACATTCGTAGAGCCGGGTTTAGTGACGGCTATTAGGGGCAGATAATTTAGTTTGAAGGGAGGGGGTAGGGTAGGGATTGGGGGAAAGGAGGGTGGGGGTAGGGGTTGGGGGAAAGGAGGGTGGGGGTAGTATCGTTCTTAACGACCTACTAATAGTGTTTTAAAGCAAATATTTTCAATGGCAGCATTGCATGGTACTGTCGAATTCACAAATTATAAATTACTGAAAAGTAGAAAATAAAACAACTAAATAGCGTCATATGATATGCTGCGGGTCGGCTCGTGCTTTATAAGTCAAGATGACAAGGCCCGCGTTCCACTTGGTTTAACAGCAGATAAAAAACAGAGTCCATTGCTCATGTACATGGAATACAGGGTGAGCTTGCCTGACCATGACTGGGTTGTGGCTGCTGGATATAAGCTGATCCCTTCAGTTTATGCCGGGATAAAAATTTCAGCCCAACGCCTTGGGAAATCGAGAAGCTGTTGGATACTCCGGCCCAACATAGATCTACATATCAATCAGATCTGGTAAACATTCCTAATTTACAGCACTTAGTCATGGACTTGATTTTGAAAAAATTACTTACTTTACATGAATTTGATGATATCACAAAGAGTGGTGTGGATCAAATTGTTAAACCAATATTAGTGTTGACGGTTGATGGTGGCCCAGACGAAAATCCTAGGTATCAAAAGGTGATCAAAGTTGCGGTACACCACTTTCTCAATCAGAACTATGATGGTTTGTTCATTGCTACCAATGCTGCAGGAAGAAGTGCATTTAATAGGGTTGAAAGAAAAATGGCGCCACTTAGCAATGAGCTCACAGGATTAGTTTTACCCAATGACCACTACGGCAGTCATTTGGATGAAAGAGGAGTCACAATAGACACAGATTTAGAGAAGAAGAATTTTCAGTTTGCCGGAAACACTTTGGCAGAAATATGGTCACACTTGACAGTGGATACATTTCCTACAGTGGCAGCATACAGAGATCCAGAAGATTCTTAACTCCTTGAAACTTCTCTGCTCTCAAAGGATCAGCGTTGGCACGATATTCATGTGAGAACTAGCCAGTATTTGACTCAGATCGTTAAATGCATGGATGGTAAATGTTGCTCAAAGCAAAGAAGCTCGTATTTCAGCTTAATAACTGATAGATTTCTTCCTCCACCTTTACCAGTCGCCCAAACAAGCTGTGGACTAACAATGCCTGAGTGTTCAACAGATGACTCTTCACATAAATTTCCATCTCTTTTTGCTGCTCAAAGTAAAAAAGTGGATGAAATCCTCCCCCGCTCTTCCAATCCTTATCGCACAATCCCTTATGATTTGTATTGTCCGTCTGTTTAATCCGTGATCAGCGATAGGGTTTGTAAGAAGTGTCATTCATACTTCTTTTCATTGGTTATGCGGCGCAATCATTCCTTAACTCACAAACAGGAATCATCAATTGTGCCATTACAGCGCATCAGGCCTCTAAGAGTTGCTGCCGCCAACGTGAACTGATGGTGGTGATTGCCAATGAAATTAATGGTGAGAGTGTAGATTGGATAGAAGTGGGAGATCTTGATGTAAAGGGAATTCCCATTCCATACAGAAAAAAAATCAATTCCGTCCCTTATTCAATGAAGGAACATTTTAATTCTCCATGGGAGAATGAATTAGCTTAAATATCACAACTTTTAATTGAGCATTGCCATATTAATACTGTTGTAAGTAGTTTTTTTTAATACTTCTGTTAATGATCTTGCTAAGATTTAGAAATATGAATGTATATAGATATGGTCGGTTAAGTTATAAGTATAACCTGTTACTTATATTATTATTTAATCGTTATTAATGAAATTTCTATAAAATTTGCTTAGATTTAAGTCAGTGTGAGAGTATTTCTTGTCCTATTTCAACATCCTTTTTGCTAACAGCAAAACACGCAATTTAATAATCTAGTGGAGAGTCTTTACTAAATCTATGACATTTATATTGCTTTGTGAGAGATGACATCCGTTAAGTCCATCATATAGGCCAGGGGTCTCCAAACTACGGCCCGCGGGCCAAATGCGGCCCGCGAGGTCCTCTCATCCGGCCCGCGGAGATCTTTTTGTCCACGGAAAAAACGTTTGTTGGTGAAGGCTGAGGAACTTTGCCTAGAAAAATCAAAGACATGCCTGGAAGAAACTGGCCCCCGAGCTGAAATGTGATAGTTAATGCGGCCCTCGGACTAAAAAGTTTGGAGACCCCTGATATAGGCTACAATAAAATATACCAGGAAAATTAAAGGTCTAGGCATAGTTCTAACAGGTCAAATAATTTGCATATTATCCTAAATATATTGTTATTCTCACGTGTGTCGTCATGTCTGCAAGAAATACCTACATTTACATTAAGTATTTAAAAAAAATTAATCCTTTCAGCTTTAACATTACCTTACTGTACTACTGTTTACCTGCTGGTGCCACGAATGGGTCCTGCACACTCATTATTAATGCTGTGTCAACGAGGGATAATTTTAAAGGGATGAAAACACAGCAAATTTAAAACATAATGTGAGCGGGTGAATGGATTATTTTGTATTATTTTATTTGTTGCGAATCTGCGAGTGGATGATCCATTGGGGAAGGCCACGGGGTCCCCCTTCCGTCCGAAGCGGTCAGTATATAAACTGACCACTCGGATAATTTCTTCCTTTTTTTGACCGCCAGAATGTAGGTCAGGTCAGCTTCTGTGGTCGCGCTTTGTGCGTTGGAGGTATTTGTTTTTATTTTACTTTGGTATGAGTGATTTGTATGAATGCGACGGCCGATGTTTCTCGTTTT